GAGAGAGAGAGAGAAACGCGATTATGAAAAAAGAGTAAATGGTTGTAAAATATCTTAATTCTTAGTATACATAATGAAACTCATTAAGCCGACGTAAACAATTTAATCAATTTAATTAACAATGTACATAGACAACTAGAATTTCTAATTTGATTTACGAATGGAATGTTTCAAATAGTAGTTAAAAGTGAACCTCGAGCTTTACATTGTTTCACGTTTGCATCATCCATATACGTCAATATTGCGAAAATAGTATGCGCTACAATGTAAATCATATAAATTGAGTGGTTAGAAAATTAAGTACATGCTCGAAAATCCCACAGAGAATTACAGGTTACTAAGTTTTACTAAAAACAAATTAAGAATTTTATTTCAAATTATCAGGATCTCATAAACATGGCGCTCGTGAGAGAAAATATTTTTTATAATAACAGATAAGTGTAGGCAAAACGTTTCAAAATATAATCCGGTATTTTTGCAATTTCAAGTGGCGCGAAAATTGCGTAAAGAAAACAAAGAGAAAGAAGGGGGAGAGGGAGTGAAGTGCGGCGCTTTTATCCGTGCTTAAAATTCATCACTACCAGTAATACCTGCTTTGCCGACTTCGTTAACGAAACAATACACCGGGATAACGTTCCCTCTGGCTCGGCCCAATCGATGAAACACGTTGGACTATTTCACAACCAAGTACTCTTGCTCCACATATCTGGCGTGCGTCCCGGGGACGCAGGCCTTCTATATAGAGTATAAACGCTATTCATGCGATAGGATAATGGGTTAAGTGGGGTCTACTCACGACGTCGATGAGCTGGGAGAGGCGTAGTCCCATTTTGACAGTGAGGCGATCGCTGTTGTTGCCAACAGGGCGGATGAGGCGGTTGTAGTTCGACAGCAGGTCATCGTAGAGACGCTTCGCTTCCGGATTGGCCGAGGCGCCCGGAAACGGGGCAACGAGACAGGATATGGCTGCCGCCATCGCCAACAATCCGCCCAACCTGGACCACCATCGCCACCAGCCTTTCCCACCGTCGTTCGTCCAAGCATCCCTAAGCATCGTACGCCTTGTCCACCCCTTTAACAATAAATTACGTGCCCCTGAGTCGGAGA